GTCTGAATGGTCATCTGAAGCATGTGTCAATAGATGGCCCACTGAAAAGGAGTTAGAGATGCCTGTTATCTCCTTGTCTTAGTGTTGATGAAGGTGTTAGGCTCAGAGAGTGGGCATGCTGTGTAAAACCTAATCCTCCACAGTGGGAAGGCCCAGAAGACATGCCCATCACAAACCCTATATGACCAACATACCGGAAGAGCTTTGTTGTCTCCCTTCTCCTTTGTCAACCTAGGAGTCAGAGACGCTGCTGCTCAGTTGGATGAACTAACTGCAGTGGGTTTAACTGGGCCTCAGAACAGCAGGGGCCAGGTGGCGGCAATGAATTGCCAAAGGCAAGGTAATTATCGTAACTGGCAGCATAGACAAAGCAATGTCCATAACGCCTGACCCAACCCATAATGGGCAACACAGACAAAGTGCTTTATGGTAGCATGATTTGTATGGACTTTTGGTACTGGCTAATCAACCATGTGTTTCCAGGCATGAAATAGTAAGAAGCCTCCAGTGTTCTTATTTGATATGTCTAAACAGAACAATTCTCAAAATGAAAGAAAGGCCACATTGGATCATGGCAAAAGATAGAACTTGGCCTGTAAAACCAGTTTCAAGACTTGAGCCAGTTTGCAGACCCAAAACCCCTTGAATGAAGACATAGTCAAATTCCCCCAAGGAAGGACCTTGATAAAACACCTAAAGGGTTTGCTGCGAGTCTTTCCCCAGAGGGACCTAAGGCCTTTTACTAGGGCAAGGGAGGAAACATAGAAGGGAGGAAACAATCAGGCTTTCTTGGGCCTACTGGATACTGGTTCTGAATTGATGCTGATTTTGGGAAATCCCAAGAAATATGTGGCCTTCCACTTAAAGTAGGGCTTACAGGGGTTGGGTAATTGATGGAGTTTTGGCTGAAGCCTGACTCATAGTAGGTCCATTGGGTCCCCAAATTCATCCTGTGTCTAGTTCCCTCATCTCAATGTGTATAATTGGGATAGAAGTTGGCAGAATTCTCACAATGGCTCCCTGACTGTGGAGTGAGAGCTATTATGGTTGGAAAGGCTAAATATAAGCCTTTAGAGTTGTCTCTTGTAGGGAAAATAATGGATCCAAAATAGCACAACATTCCCAGAAGAATTGCAGAAATTAGTGCCACCATCAAGGACTTGAAATATGCACTACACTTCCCTTTAACTCTCCTACCTGGCCTGTGCATAAGGCAGATGAATTGTGAAGAATGACAGTTGACTATTGAAAACTCAATCCAGTAGTGACTCTAATTGCAGCTGATGTACCAGATGTGGTGTCCTTATCTGAGCATATTAACATCTATCCTGGACATGGTATGCAGCAGCTATTGACCTAGCAAATGCCTTTTTCCAGGTACCTGACCATAAGGACCACCAGAAGCAATTTGCTTTCAGTTAGCAAGGCCAGCAGTGAACATTTACAGTTTTACCTCAAGGATATATTAACTCACCAGCTCTTGTCATAACTTAGGAGGGATTTTGATCATCTGTCTCTTCCACAAAGTATCACATTGGTGTAGTATATCGATGACATTATGCTGGTTGGACCAAGTGAACAGGAGTTAGTAACCACTTTGGAATCATTGGTATCCACCCATATGCATACAAGATGGGAAATAAATCCAACCAAAATTCAAGGGCCTTCTTCTCTGTGAAATCTTAGGAGTTCAGTGGTATGGGGCATGCAGATATTCTTGTCCTGTTTCCTTACCCATTGGGAGGTTGTGGGGCAAGAATCCATAGGACAGGACCAGCCCTAGGGTGTGCAGAAGACAACACGGGGCCCTGGAGACACTTGGCTATGGTCTCATGTCCTTCATGTTGCCCTCTAGGAGGGGACAAAGGTCTCTTAGTGGTCTGCAAGTCTCTGCATGTGCTAGTTAGCTACTTCCTACCATTTTTTCAGGACAGCTGTTATTCTGATCCCCAATTGTAATGATCAATATTGTCAATTTGACAGGCTCTATAATCTTCTGGGAAACAGCCCTTGAGCATGCCTGTGAGGAAGTTCCTTGAGATGGAAGACTGGCCCTACATATCCATGGCAGCATTCCATGGGCGGTGTCCCAGACCAAATAAAAAAGAGCAAGGGTGATGCACGCCATCATTCATCTCTCTCTGCTCCCTGAGTGTGGGTGCGGTGTGACAGCTGCCTCATGTCCCCGCTGTCACTCCTCCACCACAAGGAGTTGTGCCCCTGTGAGCCAAATAAACCCTTACTTCCTTTGGCTGATTTTGCTGCATGTATGAGAAAGTTAATACATGCAGCATCTCCCCTCCCCACCAGGCCCTGATCATGTGGCTGGCTTCCTGCACATCTGTCCCTGCCGTGGTTCAGCACTCGATAACCAAAGCATTCAGAGTCTGGGCTGCCTGGGAGTCTCGGGCACCTCCCACGCACCCAGCAGAGCCATTCTGCCTGCTGGTACGTCCTTCAGAAGGCCACTAAACTTCTTGCCCCCCTGCCCCTCAGCTGGAGTGCTCCAGGACAGACTGCCTCCCAAGCCATAACTTGAAGTAGCCAGCTGGGCTCCTGTCCCAGCAATCACTAATGTTGAGGACTCAGCAGTGTGGAGTCCTCACAGGGCAATCCTACACCCGTCACAGAGCACTGTCAGAGCTAACAGCAGCCAGGTCTGCCCAGCAAGCGTCTTCCAGGGCAGGGACTCCTCCCTCAGACAGGCTGGCGAGAGGCTGGGAGTTGCTCCTCTAGGGTCCTTCACCTACAGCAGGGGAAGCATTTGTCAGAATGTTCCAGGAAGTGTGGACCTCGATCCAGATGACTTGGGAACCTGGGAGGAACCTGGGTTGCCAGGAAAGAAGCAAAAATGGGCTGATGACAGGGCCTGGGACAGGCAGTGGAAGCCAGGCCAAGGTACACTACAGGTGAGGGAATGTCAGTTGAGTCAGAGGGCATACGTATTATCACTTTAACTTTTTATTTGGAGAGGATTGGGATTCACATGCCATCATGAGAAGGAATTCAGGGTGGTCCCCATTTTGCCCAGCCGCCCCCATGGTAACCCTTGTCAACAACAAGCTCAAGACCTAGGTTTATCAATCCTGCCCTGAAAGGTAATGGAGGGATGAGTGTGTATGATAAGTAAGAATGTGTGAATGTGTGTGCATGTACATACATGTGTACATATGTGAGTATGTTTGCTTGTGTGAACATGTGTGTGCCAGAGAGTGTATGTGCACGTGTGTGTGTGTGTGTATATATATATGTATATATATATATATATGTGAGTGAGCATGTGTGTATGTATATATGAGCATGTTTGCCTGTGTGATATGTGTGCATGTGTGAGTGGGCATGGGTCTGTATGAGTATATATGTGTATGTGCATGTGGGCTTATGTGTATGTAATGTATGTATATGTGCACATGTGCATGCATATGTGTGTATATGTGAGTGATCCTGTACATATATATGTATATATACATGCATTGCTCACATGTGCATATGAGTGAATAAGTGTATGTGTGAGCATATGAGCATGTACATGTTCATGTATGCATGTGACAGTGTGTGCACGTGTGTGTTTGGTGCTAAGCATTCTATCAGTTGTGTAGGGCTGTGTATCCACCGCCTCTGTCCTTCAGTGACAGTACTGATCAGCACAGCTGGGGTCATATCGCTGCCATTTATAGCCACATTCACTTCTCTTCCTGACTCACTGTCCCCTAATCTGTCCCTTTTCCCACAGTTTGCCATTGTTCTTTTTATGCTGACCCAATCCCCTGGCTTGCTGCAGGCTGTCACCTGTTGCAGGCTGTGATCATGAAGGAAGCTGCTGTGAGCATTTGTGTGGGTACAGCTTTCACGTCTCTCTGCCACATGCCCAGTAGGGTCACTGTCAGCCTACAAACCACCGTGATATCACTTCTGTCTCTTGTGTGTTCACCAACATGTGGAACAGAGCCTTATCCCAGCTGGCCTGTGTAGTGAGGTAGTCCTTCTGTAGCACTGACCACGCCCATTGGGGGGTGGAGCGATGGGCGGAGGTGACCTGAGGAAGGAGGTCGGAGGGGGCCAGGAAGGCGCTCTCTTTCTGGCATGACTCGGACAGGAGAGGATCGGGTTGAATTTCCTGGTGTTCATCTGTCTAGGTTGTAAGTTATTTCTCCCTGAATAAACATCTATTCGGCCTATTTGTTTATCCTGATCCTTATTTACCGCAATAGGCCTGCTATCGCTAATCCCCCAGGGAGTCTAGTCCCAGAGCTGGTCAGACAGGGACTCAGCTCATCTGAAGAATATCAGGCCTTACAGGCTTGCTGTCTTTGTAGAACCTCACGAGAGTGTGTCCTTTAAGAGGTGACTCTGGTGCCAGTCTCTGGGATGTTCTGAGGGCCATTCCCAAGAAAGGAACCCAAACTGCCAAATGCTATTTCCCCATACATGTGCCTGTCTTCATGCTGAGACCAAAGGAAGGATTTTATTTGGCAAGAGTCTTCTGACATCAGGAGACATCAGTTGGGATGCCTGGGTGACTTAAATCTAATGATGGAGGAGGAGATGTAGTCACAGAAGGCCATGTGAAGACAGAGGCAAAGACTGGGAGATGTGACCGCAGGCCAGTATCAGGAAGAGGATGCCCAGTGCTGGCTCCACAATGCCTGGATCTCAGGTCTTTGGGCCATAGAGCTGCAAGACAGTAAACCTCAAGTTCTACACTTTACTGAACACAATTTCTAGCATAGCTCTACAGGGCCATGTTTCCTGCTCAATTAAGACATACTACATAAGGCCCCACTCAACCCGATTCTGGGAATACATCACACAATCTTCTACAAAAAGCTGGCTTCTGTGGAACAGGCAGAGTGTGAGCTCTGAGGCATGCTGCTTATGGTCACTCTGGGTGGGCCTCCCCCCAGCTTCTGACACTGGCTCTGTACTACCCTGCCCAGCTCCCAACACTCTGTGATGCATGTCTTGCATTCAGATCAAAATGCACATACCAGAAGGCCTGGCTAGTTCTTCTGTGGGCTGGCGTAGCAGTTCTCTGGGGAGACATGGGGATGTCAGATGACTTGCTGAGCCTCCCCTAACCCCCACCCAATCCTCAAGTGTCTGTGCCAGGTACACCAAGCTGCAGTGCTGCCTTCTCTGAACCCTTTCTGAGTCAGAGCAGGGAGCCTACCTTTGTTTGTCAAGCTGATGATATTTTGTGAATCCAGTCCATAATTTTTGCAGGTGTTTATAAATCTTTTCAGGTAAGACCTGTCAAGCTCTGGGATGCGTCCTGGGGACAAATTTGGGACTTTGAGTTGGGGAGGGGTCCCAAGGCACCATTCCATCATGTGTAAAGGCCCATGGGAGACCCCCTACCAGTAGCTGGGATTCCAAGCAGACAGGGGTCAGGTTACCATAGAGTGCCAGCACATGGGTCTCAGTTCCATTCTTGATGTTCTCCATGTAGAAGGTGGCATACATTCTGTAGTCAGTCTCCAAGAGCAGCACCTTGTTTTCCCCCTCATCTGCATAGAGATATAGCTCAGCACACCCTCTGTCCGGGCACTGGGGTACCACCGAGTGCCATGTGACTTATGTAGCTTTTGTTAAGCAGGCATTGGAAGTAGGAGTCTGGGGGCCCAGTGCTGGCTCAGGAGGAGGCTGCGGTATGGAAGTGTGGGTAGAGGGGTCTCATGGCACCTATTTGTCTGCCTGAAGATGGACCTTTGCGTGCTGCCCCCACAAGCACTCTGCCTCCCTGGTAGTTCCAGGCTAGTGATATCCAGAGAGAGGGCTGGGCTGGGGACCCCTGAGTTGCCGCTAGGCTGGGGTGCTCTTGCTTTAGGGTTGGGGTGAGTGCTCACCAGAGTGGGCAAGGCCTCAGCATAAAAGATCCCTCTGGCTGTCAGAGCAGGAAGGACAAGGGTTCCACTTACAGGCAATGGTGAACTCCCCATTATTCATTGTCTTTTCACAAACCATGGCCACAGCTACACATTCTCCTTGCACCCTGGAGGACAGTGAGGGGAGGGACTTAGAGCACGCACCAGCTCCTCCCCGCTGCCTGGGTCACTGCAGAAAGTCATCGAGCCCTCAAGCCCTAGTACATTGGCTTCCATAACTCCCCAGCTCAGAAGAGGCCTTTCACCTTTTCTCACCAGGAGGAGGACAGAACACAGCAACAGGCCAGAGCACCCCCAAGAGAAGATCCCCAAGGGAAGAGGTGGTGACGGCTCACACACTGGCCCAGGTGTTCAGGTGTGTGAGTGTATGAAGCCATGGGAACACAGTCTCCCCTAGTTTCAGCTTGGGGGGAGGGCAGCAACACGCACATGAAGAAGAAGTTAAACTTCAGGCTGCCATTCTTTAAGAGATTGATGTTCTGTATTAAGATCCTCAGGTCTCCGTTCTCTTCAATGCGTGTCATGTTGTTTGAGGCCATAAAAATAGGGCACCAGACCCCGGAAATCTGGAAGGAAAGGCTGAGTTATGGGAGTCCTGGTACAGCCCTGGGGCTGCTTGGCCCCCATGGCCACACTCCTGGGTGAGTCCCTGAACACTAGCTCCAAGCTGGGACCCCCTTTCGCCTTCCCAGCCCTCCCCGTGCCTCATTCCTCCCAGGCTCCTCTGAACCCTCTGGCTGCTATCATAGTTGGGGCTGGGAAGGTCTCTCGTGGCCCAGACACCCTTTTTCCAGGTCCAGTGCTCCACTCAGTCAAGGGAGGACAGGTGTTCTTCGTGAAGCCCACCCTGGCCATGTTGTAGTTCCTCCGCACAACAACTTCCTTGTTGAACTGTGCAGCGGCAAGACTCAGCACCAGGCCCAGCACCGGCAGTACTACCATGCTCTCCGGTGGACACCTTGGCCTGCGTCTCATTCCCTTATGCTCCTTTCTGTTCTGTGGTTGACAGCCTCTGCAGACAGCCTGTCCACACACATCCTGTGTTCTGTTGGAAGGTGGCCAAAGGCCCCCACTCAACTGTTCACATCCTAGAGCTGGCTGCAGAACCCACTTGACCTGATGTGTAACTGGGTCAGAAAGTGAAAGGGGAAGTTGGGACCATCAGGTCCTTGGACCCAGGCCAGCATGCTGAAACAATGTAAGACACGGAGCCCTTGCTCTGTCTCTCCAAGCTGGGGAGGAAGAACTCAGAGCCTAGGTGTTCAAGTCCCATCTTCACACCCTGTCTGGCCTCAGGGTTTATGTTTGAGGGAGTTTGGCTTCTTACCAGTCATCTGCATGGCATGCAGCAGGCCTGCATCAGAGCCACCTACCCTGCCTGGTGGATGTCACTGAATATAGGATGTGACTCCAAAACTCCAGGAAAAGAACCCGGGTGAGGGAGTACTCATGAAGTCAACCCCGAGGGAAAGCTGAGGGGTCCTGAACGATATTCTGTACTTTGAGGGTACAATGATTCAAGCATATAGATACAGGGTCAGATGTGTCCCTATCCCTGCTGGAGACTTGCTGTGGGAGGTGGTGGTGAGGCGTGTCCTGGAAATGTCTGCACAGCTCCTACAGGTGTGTCACAGGCTCCCACCGCCTCCGGGGACAAGTGCGTTGGTGGCAGTGGAAGAGAGGCGTTACTCCTTTGAAGAAATAAGACTAAACTTGGCAGCCAGGGCCGGAAGATCTCAGCCCCCCCAGGTAATCCAGAGGGCAGACGCCCACTGGCTGCCATTTCCCTACTTAGGTGGTTCTGCCATCTATCTGCCCTGGGCTGATGTGGTTCTGATAGAGGAAGGGGCCCCAGCTGTCCATGGGCACCTGGCAGGTGACAAGCATTGTCAGCCATCACTGAAACTACATACAGATAATGTCAATGATAAGTTCTTTGACTTCTAAGCACACTTTCTTTTGATCCTTATCCTATTAATAGGGATGGGGCAATATGACTCCATTGCTGTTGACCTGTTCCCCCAGCTCTTTTGAGCAAAGAGCTGTCAGTCCAACAAATGCACACACACACACACACACACACACACACCACACACACACCATTCCACACTGTTGATTTGAACTTCAAGTGACTCCATGATTTTTTCTACTCAGGCTAGAGGTGGCTCACATGTCCTGGTGGCCTGGCAAAGGAACTGCTGTGAGTGGTAGAAAAGAAGCAGTGTTATGATTGGTGCAAACACAAATCTTATTTGCATAACAAGTTTGCTATGACTGGAATGAAACACCTCAAAATCTGGTTTGATGAGCTCTCTGATATGGCCTCCTTTGCTGTCTTCCCTGGTATTGCAGCATTGGGTCCAATAAAAACCTTTTCTTGAGCCAGGCTTTGGTGGCGCATGCCTTTAGTCCCAGCACGCGGGAGGCAGAGGCAGGCAGATCTCTGTGAGTTCGAGGCCAGCCTGATCTACAGAGCCAGTTCCAGGACAGGCTCCAAAGCAATACAGAGAAACCCTGTCTCAAAAAACCAAAAGCAACAAAACCCCCAAAAACCTTTCCTTGAATGTGATTTTATTTTTGTTTGTAAGTTTGTTTGAGACAAGGTTTCATGTAGCCAAAGATGACCATGAATTTTTTTATCATCTTGCCTTCATTTCCCAAGTGCAGGCATATGCCACCATGTTTAGTTTGACTGGTCTTGCCTATATCCGGTGTGAGCTGAGCTAGCTACACACACACACACACACACACACACACACACACACACACACACGCTAGAAGTAGGAGAGACAATGGAGCAGCATCAACTCCAGAGGCATCAGAGCTGGCACGCCAGGCTGCAGATGTGACAGAGCAGCCAGCTGCTTGACAGCTGACAGGGAGTGCTGCTGAGCAGTGGGCAGGCCAAGCTGCAAAAACAGCAGATCATCTGGCTGTACAGACATCTGCAAAGCAGCAGCATTGGTGAGAGGCAGCCAGCAGCCTAGTCAGAAACAAGAGAAGTGGAGGCAAAAAGAGGGCGGAGACGGAAGCTGAAGGACAGAAAGTTGTAAAGGGTCAGAGAGGAACTGCCCCAGGCTCTGGGCACTTGAAGTGTTCCCAAGAGCTGTCCAGACTACAGAACCAAGGGCCTCAGACACCCCAGGGCTGAAAGCTAAAACGCTGCCCATTGCCAAGAGCTGAGGAATCCTTACTTTACAGGCTGAACAAGGCTATAAGGCTTCAAGGATTGAAGGGTTTGGCTACCTAAAACCACCCAAGATCTTTGACACTAGAGGGCGCCACAAGCTGCTGCTCTTGTCTGACATTTGCCATCCAACATCCAGAGAATTAAAAAGCTACCAAAGTTGACCCATGAACTATATAGGTGGAGCAAAAGGACACCAACCAGATGATTAGCAACCAGGTCAGAAGTCCCAGAAAAGATTCCTTCTGTGGTCCATCTTGAGGGAAAGGTGAGTGAGTCTGAGCCTTGGTTTGTGGGTACCACCTCTTCTCTATTTGCATAGCCATGGATGCTTGATGAGTATGCAAGAGCCCACATGCCACTCTGCAAGGCTCATGGCTCCCTGCAGCCGGCTCCCTTCCAAACAAGCCCAGATTCTGTCAGGAGGTGGAGGGGGACACATTTCTTAGTCACACAGGTCCCAGAGGGACTTTCAGAAAAGGGCAAGAATTCATGTTTCAGGTAAGCAATACATAAACATCTCTACTTTCCTAGGAGAAATGTCCAAACTTCCCTTCTAGGTCTCTCCAGCTGGGTCTTGGAGGTCCAGCTGCAAGTCACAGGTGGTTGTGAACTGCCTGACGTGGGTGCTGGGGATCAGTCACATCCTCTGGAAGGGAGGCCAGTGCTCTTTGGGGCTGAGAATCTCTCCAGCACTGTATTCTGCTTTTGTGTAATTCTTCCTCTAATAGTTGGAGAAGGAGAGCTATAACCATTCCTAAGATGCCAAAATGATATGAGTAAAACTCACCCAAGGAAATACTTGGCATTGCTATTCGTATTAAGGTTTTAAGTGAAGGACCCACCTCCAAGGGGCCACAGGCAGTGCTCCCAGATCGATGACAGGAGGAGGATGTAATGCTCCTGTAAGAGACAGGAAGCAAGACACAGACTAGGAAAAATGGAGACAGACATGTCTAGACATTTTTCTTATAAGTGATTCTAGATCCTGTTGTCAGCAATGAACTTCACAAACCCCTGAGATTATAGAGAGGGAGCTGTACCCATACCCTTGGACAACAATGTCTCAATGGGAACAACACTCTCTATAAGCAAATCTGTGTTCTAGAAATGAGTCAAACACCTTCTAGTTGGTATCCTATGAGGCTATGGCTCCCTGATGTTCTCTAAGAAATGGGTCAAACTTCTCAGTTTTGTTATACTGAAATACCTAAGGCAGGTTATTTTATAAGGAAAGAAAAGCTTTGTTTTGGCTCATGGTTCTGGAGTATCAAGATCAAAGGGTCATATCTGGGGATGGAACTTCTGCTGGCAGAGTCCTGAGAGACAGGAGGCCAATGTGTGTGTGTGTGTGTGTGTGTGTGTGTGTGTGTGTGTGTGTGTGTGTGTATGCACTGCTGAATGACTTCTGGGTCAAGACAAACAAAAAATTAAAGACTTCCCTTGAGCCCAATGAAAATGCATGTACAACATACTCAAACTTATGGGGCACAAGGAAAGCAGTGCAGAGTGCCTAGGTAAAGGAACTGGAGTGGCCTCATATTAGCAACTTAATAGCACACCTGACAGCTCTAGAACAAAAAGAAGCAAGCATATCCAAGAGGAGTAGATGGCAGGAAATGATCAAACTCAGGGTTAAAACCAATAAAATAGAAACGAAGAGAACAATACAATGAATCAATGACACAAAGAGTTGATTCTAGGGTAAAATCAACAAGATAGAAAAACCTTTATCCAAACTAACTAAAAGGCAGAGGAAGAATATCCGAATTGAAAAAAATCAGAGACAAAGTGGGAGGGGATATAACAACAGATACCTAGGAAATCCAAACAACTATCAGGTCATTTTAAAAATCTGTACTCCTCAAAATTGGAAAAATATAAAACAAATGGATAATTTTATTGATAACAATCAATTAGCAAAGTTAAATCAAGATTAGACAAATAATTTAAACAGACCTATAGCCCCCAAGAAAATAGTAGAAGTCATGAAAAGTCTCCCAACCAAAGAAAAAAAAAGTTCAAGGCCAGGAAGTTTTAGTGCAAAATTCTACTAGACTTTCAAAGGAGAATTAACTTTACTATTTTTTAAATTAATATACAAAATAGAAATAAAAGGGACATTCCCAAATTCATTTTATGAGGCCACAGCCACCCTAATACCCAAAACACACATGATTCAAAAAAGCATGAGAATTACAAACCAATTCTCTTATGAACATAAATGTAAAATTACTCAACAAAATACCACAAGAACACATAAAAAAGATCATCCACCATCATCAATAGGCTTCATCCTGGAGATGCAAGGATGGTTCAAAATACAAAAATCAGTCAGTGTAATCCACCATATAAACACATGAAAGAAAAAAAAAAAAAAACCACATGATCATCTCTTTAGATGCTGAAAAAGCCTTTGACAAATTCCAACACCCCTTCATAATAAAAGTATTGGAGGAATCAGGGATACAAGAAACATACCTAAACATAATATAGGCAATTTAAAGCAAGCCTTTAGCTAACATCAAGTTAAACAGAGAGAAACTCAAAGCAATTCCACTAAAATCAGGAATAAGACAAAGCTATCCACTCTCTCCATATCTACTCAATATAGTACTGAAGTTCTAGCTGGAGGAGATCAAAGGGATATAAATTAGATAGGAAGAAGTCAAACTTTCACTATTTGCAGATGATATGATAGTTTGCATAAGTGACCCCAAAAATTCCCCCATGGAATCCTTATAGCTGTCAAACA